TGGATGAATGAATTTCAAAATACTTTAAATATTCCACGTATTTAAATATAACCACTATTCCTTTCTAACAGACCCTGCTCTTTTAACAGGTTAACTCCAGTAGTGAGATGCTGTTTCAAGCTGTAATAAAGTTGCTTTGTTCTTTCCTTGATCAATCTACATTTGAGTGAAGAAGCAAATTATTTCATGCATATGTGCACTGTCCAGATTTATGCAGGCAGAGTCTTGCAGCAAAGTAAAACCACAGAGATACAAGTCTGCTTGTAATGATGATCCTCTCAGCACCAGAGCAACATATATGTTCTTGGTATAGACCACGACATCTTTAAAATATGGAGAAACTCTGTATGAAATATATGTTTTGTCAATTTATCTAATTGCTTGCCTATTTCTAGTAAATACACTAGTTAATTAAACACAATTCCACAACAACATTTTCTTTCATATTTTCTTTCACTTTCTTTTATAATTGCAAAAAACTCTCTGCTAATTATAATTTATTTTGATTATTATAAGTAAGTAATTATATTTATTATAAGTAAGATGAATTTCAGGCAATGCTGATAACAAAGGACAAAAATTTAGATTCCCTCTGAATAACAATTATTTTTCCAAACACTAAAGTGCAAAACCACTGTGGGTTACATTTGTGGCCGGTAGAGAAAGATGTGTTCTTCCAGGCAAGTCATGTCTGTGGATGGGCTGAGTGGATTTCCTAGTGGTGCTTACACTCACAGAATTGCAGAATACTTTCAGAGGAAAGAGATCCTTAAGAAGCACTTATGCACCCCCTCACATGGGCAGAGACATTTTCACTAGATCAAATTGCTCAGAGGCCTTTCCAGCCTTACCTTGAACATATCCAATCAGTCATGGAGTCATTAAGGTTGGAAAAGTCCTTTAAGATCATCAAGTCCCACTGTCAAACTAGCATCACTACCTTGTTCACCATTAAACCATGTCCTCATATGTTGCCATATCCACATATTTTTTGAACACTTCCAAGAATGATGACTCCATCACTTGTCTGGGAAGTCTGTTCTAAGGACTTACAATTCTTTCTGTGACAAAAAAAATTCCTAATATATAATCTAAACTTCTCCAACTGCAACTTGAGGCCATTTCCATTCAATTCCTTCCATTTTCAGTGACAGGACATTTAAAACATCTGGACAATCTGTTCTGCTGTCTCACCATCTTAGTTCTAAAAATATTATTCTTTATACTCAGTCTAAACGTATCATCTTTCAGTTTAAAACCACTATCCTTTGTCCTGTTGCTATATCCCTTGGTAAAAAGTCTCTCTCTCTTTCTTATAAGCCCTCTTTATATCTTGAAAGGCCACAATAATGAGTTCCTTAGAATCTTTTCTTCTCCAGGCTACACAACCTCACCCATCTCAGCCAAGTCTCTCTCCACTGATTATGGACTGTCAGTTGTTTACTTATGAGGCTTAGTCAATTCCTGAAGCCTACATCAAATTCTGGACAAAAAAAAGATTCTAAAAGGGTTCTTCCACAGGTTCCTGGAATAACCTGGTACTATAGTGCTTCAATCCATTCTCTAACATCTCTAATGGAGACTGCTTCACATGCTTTAAATATATTTGATACCAAGACAAGGAGGGGAATATTTGTGATGTCACATAGACACAACAAACATTCCTGCCAGAGTGTTGTCAAAAATACTATGGTCAAAGGTTTCACAGGCTACAGTGGGACCTTCACATGACTTGTTATTCCATATTTGCTTTGGGAAACCTGTTCTCAGGTTGTCATCTCCCTGACCTCAAAAGGGATACTATGGTCAAAGGTTTCACAGGCTACAGTGGGACCTTCACATGACTTGTGATTCCATATTTGCTTGGAAAACCTGTTCTCATGTTGTCATCTCCCTGACCTCAAAAGGGCATGAAGATAGAAATCTTTTCTCTGGTTCAGCCAAATCCATGGAGAAAGCAATGATTTATTAAGGGAACCAAATGTACTTATGATAAGAATTAAGGGAATGGATGTCTGGCAACTGAAGAAGTTGCCACAGGCAATGGGGGGAACAGAAGAGCAGGCTGCATCCACAGCCTGCTTGCTGTACCACTGCAAGGACAGACGCATAAGGGAGACAGAAATCAGAAATGCTGGGAAAACCCACCAGACAGTACATTAATATTTGCTTCTACCCATGTGCTCTGCTGGTTGTGTGCAATCAATCCTGTGTTACAGGCCAGTAAAAGATGTCTTACTGGACTGGAATCAGTAGCCCACCTTTCCTTGTAAATCACTATCCCAGAGTCCATTCTCTGTGTTAAGGTCAGCTTGCACAGTCTGACAATGTGCACAATGTTAAATTCCAGATCATATCAGTTCCCTCCAAACTCTCCATCCAGTGAAGCCTTTGGCCTGAGGGGGCTGCTGCACCATTCTGAAGGTTCTTTGACAGAGGGAGTATTGGTTGGGTCAAGTGAAATGTTACCAGGAACCAGTCCAGCATCTTTCACAGTCGTGACACTCGACTTCCAGGTCTTAGCAATGTTTCCTGGGATTGTTCAACTTCTTAGCATAAAGAAAGCCAGAACATTGTGGGTGGCTAAGGACTGGAAAGTAAGACTGCAACTCTATATCCTCAAAACCACTTGTACCAATTCAGAGCACAGTGTTTTGGAGGTCAGGAAGAAAATGATTTAGCTTACCACCACCCATCTTCCTGAAGAGCAGAATGAAGAGCCCTCCACTGTAAATCACAGGACAAGGCTCACTGCAATTGAGAGGACACATATTTATCTCAGACTATGAAAGTGTCTTAATTTCACTGTACTCTTTTTTTCTCCTTCTGTGACTGGGCACAACAGTCTTCCACATCATATTCTTCCTCTGATGTTAAACATGTAACAGCCCATCACATAGTCAGGTGGTGTTGTGAAGTTTTCCATAACAACTAAGACAGAGACACTGTGAGGTATCCACGCTTCAAATAAACATGGATTCATATAAATGTCTTTTTTTGGAAAGCCTCTGTTAACATGGGCAACTTTTTACATCTCGGAATATTCAAGCGAACTAAGGCTTCTTGTTTGTTTGTTTGTTTCTTTCTTTTGAGCAGTATCATTTAACTTTTCCTTTGTCTTTTTTTTTTGTTTAAATGAAGGTATTACTATGTTCCTTGTAAAAGATGCATTAAATGATTCACTTCCAGTTTATCTATGTTTTAAAGTCACTCTATATTCTCAGGCTGCAAGGACTTCTGATCTAAATACTTTAAATAAAATATTGTTTGGTTTCTGCTGTTCAGCCACAGGAAAGAGCTCTAAAAAGTAGGAGTCATGACACTGAAAAAAATTGATGATACTGATCCTCCAGTGATTCTAAAAAGTTTTCTTGTGTTTAAATTTTGTATATATTTGCACAGAAAATCATAACTTGTATCCTGGCTTGTAAAACTTCTAGAACTTTAGACAGCTAGTGCCACTGATTTGATGATGTGTGAGACACAAAACCTGACATTTTTCTAGGATAGCAAGATGGATAATTTAAGATTTTTGTTCTCAATTTCCACCATCTTATAAACACAAAAATGATTTGTTTAAATGGTATTGCTATAAAATACACTGCAAGTTCTTTCAAAGTGTATTTTTTTTGGAGTAGTCATGTGGGGCAATTGATTCTGTCAGAAATACCTCTTTAATTTGTAATTCAAAGCACCATAAACTGTAATGATTGTGTGTTCCAACCAGAGGCAGAACTGAAGGGAGAGGCACAGGTCAGCACAGCTACACAGAATCCAACTACCTTAATTGGTGCAGGAAAATGTGCTCACCTGTCTGTTCCTCACTTTGAGCACCAGGGAGGTGAGTTTACCATTCCATAAACCTACTATTAGTTTGATGAAAAGGTAAGAGAAATCAGTAATTAGAATAACTCAAGAAAAAGGAACTCCAAAAGAATGAAGATCCCAAATGAAGTCTGTAATTCCAGGCTTTCATCTTGACACTGGAATTGTTTCTCTAATATCACTTTTAAAAAGAATTGCAAGATTTTTTTTGTTTTGAGTTGACTACAAGTCTGGCCTAAAATATGTGAAGACATGTATAGATGCTTCCAGATTGTTTCTTCTGTTCAGAACTTCAGAAGAATCACTTTTATGTTGAAATAAAAAAGCCTTAGATAGATCTGAATTCTTCAGTGCACCAGCACACCAATATTTTTAAAGGGAAAGACACTGCATTTTATTTTTCTAGGGATCATAACTCATTTTATGAATTAAGTTTAAAATATACATTTATATGTTTAATATAAAAAGTGCTAAAAAGGACCCTATATAGATTTGCTGGAAAATATTGAAAAAAATTGCAGGGGAAAAAAAGTATTTCCTTCTAAATTCCTTACATCGTCTTTGTATTTTGACGAAATGTTTCCAGTTGTTTTCTCTCTCTTCACATAAGAAAAATAAATTTCCCTCATTTACACATTTATTTTTTTTACTGCCAAGATGAAATGAATGGTGATGAAAAGAAGCATATTAAGAAAAAGGGTGAGAATGCAGGAAAATAGAAAGAAAAGTCTTAAAAAGCTGAAGGTGAGTATTAACTCAAACTAGCAAAAGTTATTGAGAAAGTGCTACCTACCCACTTCAAAAAACATGGCCATACACACTGCCACAGTTCACACAAGCCAGAAGATGGGGGTGGCATTAGTGGCTCTAAAAGGTGCCTCCTCACAGATGTGGCCACAAGAAATATCTCCATGGTGAGCTGGACCTCTTCTGCTTTGCCATAGTGAGTATTGAGATTCCCCAAGGACCCAGAAGAAATGGCTCTAGCTGCTTCTTCTGACTCCCCAGAATGTTCTCCTTTCCTTTTTCAGAGCTCAAAAGCACAAGATTAATGGAATCCAATCTGATTTTTCTTGGTTTGATGAAGGAAAGAAACTGATTAAGCTGGCTGGTCCAGCTGCAATATTATCACATGCAGCCTTAAATTCTATGCCCACAGGTGTTATGTCCAGCACATGTATTCTTTCCTAATGAAGCAGCCCAGCTGAAAATATTAATGGAATTTTCTTCAGTAACACTAAATGTAACCTTTATTCTCACTGCTTGGAGGATCTGTCTCACATCTTTCCAAGGCAGAGGAGTCAGAGTGATTCACTGAAAAATAAGGTTCTTTCTCTTCCAGTTCCCGAGGAAATGGCATCCTTTCCTCCTGTGGAGATAAGGAGTAAAGGTGTCAGTGTTCTGTATGTTTGCAACTTCATTAAAGGTTTCATCTGAAACTGAGTATGGTAAAATTTCCAGCTGGCACAGAATACAGCTGCCACCTTCCTGGCTTCACACAGAGCATGAGAGCCTTGGATTAATGGTATGAATCCTCCAGTGACATCTAGTCATATTCAGAGCTGAATTAGTCTTTGATTTTAATTTTTAATAACTTTTCAGCTACATCAAAAAAATATTAAACTGCAGTCCATCAACACACACTAGTTCACACCAGGGATCTGGGGCAAAGATGTTGTCACAGACAAGAATGAGAAATTTAAAGCAAATCTCAAAGTTTTCCTCATGTAGGCTTCTCACCAACAAGGCTATAATCATGTAAGTATCCTTCTTTATTTCTAAATCCCATATAATCCCTGCTTCCCAATCTATGACCTCAACATTTATTGCTACAAAATGAGAAGTATCAGAGGATTCATGAAATCCAGTGATGACCGCTCTGTTTGGGATGGGTAACTAATGAACACTGTGAAAAACAAAGGACAAATTGAAACTGTAAATAAATAGATAGACTCTTAGTGCAAAAGCATTGGAAACCATCATTATTTCATGCAAAAACTCTGAAAAAGTGTAACACTGAGATAGGATTATAACATAATTTCCAGATTTGACTGGCAGATATTTAGCTATACAACATGTTCATGCCATCAAAGGGTAAAATTTCCATTACATCAGTAAGGAAATGTTGTAATGTCTATCCTGAAACAGAAAAAATAGCATGACGGCCCTCCTGACACCTGACAAATAAGGATTTGGACAGGAACCATTAGCCCAATAACCATGAGCTACTGAAGCTAAGAGGTAAGCTGAATTGCTGTCCTTTTCTTCAGTTATGAGAAGTATACTTCCTTGTCAGACAGAGACAAATCTTCAAAATTCACTTATCCCATTACTATGAGACACCATAAGAGAACAAAAAGGCATGTGAGATGCCAAGAGTGTTCTGCTTTTCATTTCTGTAAAATTCTGTACATTAAGGCTCATTTATTCACCTCGATTATGCAAATTTTGTCACAGGTGAAGGGTTTTGCCTGGTTTCAATAACACTGGTTGTCTTAATGAGGTATGTTCAGAAGGTGTTTCAGACTTCACTTTTCCCACTATTCATTGCTCAGTATTGCATGGGGTTTATTCTCCTCTCCTCTCCTCTCCTCTCCTCCGTAAAAAAAAAAAATTAAAAAAAAAATTAAAAAAAAAATCGGCTCCAAGCCTGTGGATAGTTGACAAATTAGCACATGTTTTTGTTCCCAGGAGAGAAAGGAATGTGTTTATCCTAATTTTTTTTTTTTAACTCCCCTCTGTTTGGAGCATTTTGACCAAATCACACTCCTAAATATCTGACCTCTTAGTTTCTTAACTTAGTGTTAATTTTAAATGCATACTGTGTTTTGAATGATTTTAAATGTTGGGAAATATAAATCAGTGTCTGATAAGTCTGTGTGCAGTCAGGTCACATGAAGAGAAAAATACATATCTTAGGAGCAGAATTCTTCTATTTTTTTAGATGGAGAAATACACTGGAGATTAGAACTTAATTTGAATAAAATAAGAATTGACATTTCCTTTCATTTCAAACTTTTTTTTGTTTCTGGTTTTCCATTTTTATGAGGGTTTTTTCATCTTTTTTCTCCCTTGGATTTCCTGCTTTTCGTTTCAAAACAGAAATAGCAGATTAACAAGGGACAAGGCTGTTTTCAAGATTTCCAATCTCAACTGAAGCCAAACCAGTTTTCCATTTTGTGTGTTCTCAACAATGTTCAAATTTGACTTTCAATTTGATTAAGCATCTGAATAATTATTCATTAATATCCTGTTTACAGCAAACACTCTTCATTCACCCTCAGGTTGAAATTAGCATCCTTGTTTCAGAAATTGTCTAATCTCTGACTGGAGTCTTTACATAAAATTAAAGTTTATTAGTATGACTAAGGCAAAAAAGAATATTTTTGTGCTCAGAGATGATCAGCCCAGAGTGAGGTGTTAATTCACCACCAGAGGGCATCCACATGGGATGGAATGTGATCCTAATGAAGTTGCAATAGAAGAATTAATAACAAGTATTAAATGAGGTCAGCAGATGTCAAACAAAGCACGTTCACTACTTCCTGCCAAAATCTACATGTGTAGAAAAGTAAAACAATGCCTTAGAATTAAACAATCTTCAAACAAATTATCAATCCCATACTCAGGTTTAATTTAGAAAATAATCTTTGGATAACCAGGACCCAAAGTTCTTATGTTTTTAACCACTACAACTTCAAGAAGGTTCCTACTGATATTCTCCTGAGTAAGAGCTGACAGAATATTGACCAGCTGCTATATCAGTCAACTCACTGACGTGTCTGCAACTACAAGATAAATGGACTTTTAATTTTTGGCCCCAGACAATGCATTATGAGGCTGCTGGGATGTTGACAGAACTCTTTGTAAAAAAAGAAAAAAGCAGAATGTGGGAAAATTATTTTCAACACATCACACAGATTAAAGTAATAGATTTTTACACTCTGTATTCCATAACCTGTGTGTTTAAGAGTGGAATGGAATGGAATGGAATGGAATGGAATGGAATGGAATGGAATGGAATGGAAGGGCAATGGTTTGGGCCCAGAATGCCAGTTTTCCAAAAATTATTTTGAGGAAAGCATCAATTGCCTCAATAATATGAAATCTGAAGACTCTTGAAAACTTCTGTTTCTGAGGAATTTCATGAAAAAACAGGCCCAGGATTGTGGGTTTTCTACTTTTTGAAGAGTGTGTCTCAGTAGGATGATGAGACATCAAAAAAATGTGCTATATTTCTTACTAGATTCTGTCTACCACATAACCTGCTCCTAGGCATATTAATATTTTGGAACGTTTGGCAAATGATTTTGTATTTACATGACTGCATACTAAGCACTAAGATAGAGAAGAGTTCTTTAATCTCCCATTGATTGTGTAGACAGTCATCATTGCTGTCAATATTCTCAGTAAAGAGATGCTAATGTGTGATATCTGGATTATTTGCCCTTTTTTATCCTACATAATCAGCAGATGATGAGCAGTTAAGCTGAAAGCAACACTCAAGCCCACTCTATGTATACTGTTTATGCCCTGCTTATATTCTCTTCATTTTACAAATGAGTCCTAATCTTTGAGCTATTTATGAAACTTCTTGTGGGAGTCAGTTCTTTCAAATTTGAATTGTGCTTTAAAGAAGGGGATTGTGCTTTAACTTCAGGGCAGTGGTGTACCAGAGACAGAAAGGAGTTACTGGGTTTTTTAAGTGCCAAATAACCCTCAGCTGTTAGACTAATGGTACATAACTTTGCAGAAGACTGCAAGCAAACTTGCAGTCAGAGATAAAGAATGAATAATTCTTTTCTGTTCTGTATATGAAAAATTGTACATTACTGCAGAAATTCTTACTAGCAGCCAAGTCTGATGATATGTCTTAGAAGAATTAGTTTAACTGATGTGGAATCACTATAACCTCAAGGCTTCAATAATTGTTTAAAGATTTAAGTTTCACAGTTGGTTTCATAAGCCAGAATAGTTGGTGTCCAGGTTTGTGGCTGAGTTGTGAAAGTTAACAGAACACTGTCAGAACTCACTCTGAAATATTAAATTAAAGTCATGGGACTGGCAGTGAAGATTTTTAAGCAGGATGCAGAATTATACCTGTCACAGTTTAAGTAGCGAGGAAACCTGCAAGCTTTATAGGAAATATATTTCAACTAAAACACAAATTTCTTCCTGTCTGAGGGTGTTGGTATGACATAAATGGGCACAGATGCTAACTGTGATAAACCTGGGCAAATAAGCACACACTAGAAACAAAGCTTGAAGCAAACACAGGTTTTTGCATGACAACATATAAGCTTGAGGAGCATATAGGAGCTTGAAGGGCATATGGCACCTATGAACTGAGGAGCATATCTCTGTTCTTTAATTTGATAGCCTTGAAATGGCCTTTTTAAAATGAAGTATGGCTTCATCCATTTAGGAAGATCCACAAACTTCTCTTGACTTAAATAGCAACTTGGAGATGTAATTAACCATGAATAACCCAGAGGTTACTTTGTCAGTCTCCTGAGAAAGCAGGTCCACAGTATTAATCATCTTCCTGTACCAGTAAATATAATACTGTCAAGTAACTGAGCTGGTTTCAGTTCAATTACTTTTTTGCTACAGATTTTTTTTGGCTGCAAAGGTTAAACATTAAATTCTAACCTGTCCTGAGCTCCAAATGGTGGAATCCACTACTGAGAGCAGAGGAAACCTTGAGGCAGCACGATTCAGATATGTCTTTCCTCCACCCAGCTGGACCAAACTTTAGGATTCAGATTGCCAGACTTTTGACAAGCTTAGGGCTGAGTGAGAGCTGTCATTAGTCAGCAGAGGGAACACACATGATCAGCTTCAGCTAAGTATCTGTTTCAAACAGCTAAAGTTAGATGAGAGAAACCTCAGCCTTGCCTTACACCACAGAGTTTTGTCAGGTACAGTAAAAAAATAGTTCCCTAGTCAGATTATTCCTGGAGCCTAAAAAGATAGGCTGTGAAATCAATTTTTTAATCTAAAGCAGTTTATATTAAATAAATAAATAAATAAATAAATAAATAAATAAAATGCTCTGTATTGAGATTCTGTAAAGTTAGTTTGTGTCTGAAATGAAATAAAACAAACATTGGATGTTTCTTACAATGGTGCTCACATTCCAGGCTAAGTTCTACAGGCCCTAAAACAGATGGTGAAGCCTCTCACAGTCAGATATGCCACACATCAAGATGAGGAAAGTGTTTTAATTTTCAACAGACAGAGCTGATGACAAAGAAATAAACTACTGTAACAGTTGTTCTATAGGTCTGATGTTTTGAAGAGGTACAAGAACTATCAGATTGAACAAAATTTGAAGTTGTTTCACTGCTGGGACGTTTAATCTGAGAT